TTTGTAATGTCTTTATAATCAAATATATGAGGGGAAATAGCTTTGCTTGTGATAGCTTAGGGTCCAGTGCGGGGTGGAAGAGTAAAACCTTTTTAGCGGGAATGGGTTTGGTGGATATTCAGGGTTTTGTGTTCCTGAGTCTCTTCATCTGCTTTGAGCTCCTCTTCAACTCCAAGTCTTCTCTGCTGCTTCATGTTGCAGCAAATGCATTGACCCTCTGTATCACTAGGTCCTGCACTCACAGATTCAAGCAACCTTGTACTGAAAATATTTGAGAAAAAATGCCTTGTATATGTTGAACATGTTCATGATCCCCCCATCTTTTATTTTCAGAATAATTACAGTGCACTGTATTTTACATGGGATTTACATTGTGTTTTAAAAGTAATCCACGAGTCACTAGAGTATATGGGAGGATGTGTGTGATTTTATACAAATATTGTATCATTCCATTTAGTTGCCATCCCATCTGTGGATATAGGTATTCCCTATGGGTACCCAAGAATAATAGTGTTTAGGCAGAATTTTCTGTGTTAGCTGGGATTCAGTCTCAGGGTTTGAACTAAAGTTTTGATATATTTAGTCTTGAATAGTAGTTTTTAAATTGATATTATGCAGCATTTGAGTAGGAAATCTTTTCTATGGTGTTCAATATGGCAAGAAGAAAAATTACTAAATGCACATGTTTTTGTTTGTTTTAAGCTTAGTATTTTCCCATTCTGAAGATAATATTGCTTATTATAAGATAATGAGAAATAGCACATTAGGAAAAAAGGAAGTACCTAGCTTCTGGTGCTGAATACCATTCAGGTGTAATCCTTTGTTGGTATAACTGAAGCTTAGTGTCATTGTTTTTAAGGCCAAAAGAAATAAAAGAAGGATGGGAGCTGAGCACGCTGGCTCAGTACTCTGGAGACTGAAGTAGGATTGCTGAGTTTTGAAGCCATCCTGAGCTTGAGACCTAGAAAGAGTGAGCGAGAGAGAGAGAGAGAGAGAGAGAGAGAGAGAGAGAGAGAGAGAGAGAGAGAGAGAGAGAGAGAGCGCAAAAGAAAGAAGGAAAAAAATAGGAATCACTTCTTAAATTAAGTATAGGAGAAATTGTTATATAAAACATATTCTGAATTAAAACCTTTAATGTAGAGTTGGTCCGGTAAAAAGGTCAATGTGAGCATGGCCTGCAATCTTGGGTTTTTATTAGTCTAGGGTTTATAACCTCTTTGAGCTAAAGGCTGGAAGGGTTCTTGCTAGGCTTGAGAATGTTTTCCTTTCTGATTAATGTTTCTAGCAAAAAAAAATTAAAAAAAGCATGCACACTTTTTATGTCCTTTCTTAGAAAAGAGTTAAGTTTTGGGGAAATTGATAAAAAATGTAACCGTTTAAAGCATCATTTTAATGGTGCAATATCACCATCTTGTGGTGTTTTAGAATATTGTTTTCAAAGTTTTCCAGACATGAACCAAATTACATATTTGATGTCTTGATGTTAGCCAAGGATTCCGCCAGATGTGTATTTGACAATTTTTGTAAATGGGCTCTAGAGTTAAAAATAAAAAGTGTGATTGAGGAAAATAATAGTATAAAATGAACCTATTATGAATTAGAGTTTATGAGTCATTTACTAATATTTCTTACTTTATGAAATAAGTAGTATTTACAGTGAAATAATTCCAAACTGAAAAACAAAATCCGTGTTCTGTTATTCATTTTTTGTTTAAGAAGAAACTAGGACACAGAGAACTTTTAAGTACTATGTTTAGCTATTTAATGGGGGATTTAAAATTTATTTTATTGTAAAATAATGCTTTCTAGACAGATGACTCTTGGAGGTTTTCTTTTGCATTAATTTGTATATTTCATAAAATATTTTGGTGATAATTTAATTTTTCCCCTTGATGTAGCGTCTCATTTTACCAAGGCTGCATTTGAACTCATTCCTGGGCTCAAGAGACCCTTCTAACTCAATTGGGCAAGTGTGGGAGGGAGATGCAAGGTGATTTTTGATGATGGTTTTGAGGGAAAGAAAAAAAGAGACCAAAAAAGGGGTAAGGGGTAGACAACACTACCATACAAAAACACCTAGAAGACTGCTGGAAATGTAGCCCAGAGGTAGAGAACTTACATGTAAAAGCCCAATGGCACTGCTGCTATTGTCCTTGGTAAAAGAAGACGAAGAGGAGCATGCTCAGAAGAAAAGTGGGCAGAGCGGTAGGGGACAGCTTCTGTGGGGTTGTGTATAGACAAGAGCCCATCAGATCAGGACAAGGGTCATTTGTGCTAATGAAATTGTTGAAGATTGGCACACTGCAAGATAGTGAGGGAGGGACCTGTGTGGATATGAAGGCCTTACATTCATTGTCCAGGGGCCATGCAGTAGGAATGAAGGCCTGGGATGGGAAGAACAGATGGATTGAGTGGTAAGAAGTTTATGCAGGAATCTGAATCTCTGGGAGTCAAAGAAGTGATGATCTGGAGTTTGTTAAAAATGTTTCTGAGAACTAAGAGAGCATTTGGGTGTCCCCCCTGTCCCCCCATCCCCCCCCCAATCTCTCATATGCAGTCCCTGTGGTGTTACCTTGAGCCCTGCTTTGTTCTGCATGTAACTGATCTGGGTTTCTTTCTACAGTTTTAAGAATTAGAAATAAGAAATTGCTTTGTCACAGGATTCTGTTTACTTGAGATCCATAAAAAAAAGCTAATGCAGGTGGAACATTACCTTGGTCACTAAGACTATTGAATGTCCCACTTTCCACAGAATTGAGGAGTTTCCAAGGATGGAAAACTAGAATGTGGATGGTCCTAGTCAAGCAAGGCTACCTTCCTTTCATTGTCATGTATTATGAATTTATTAAATACCAACAATATGTTTTTTATAAATTGTCTTTTTATGTAGAAGTAGCATTCTTTTATTTTAATTCTCACATTCTATAGTTTACATGTTCATAAAATAATTTTTTGTGTGCTTTAGAGTTGCTAAATTGGGTATTAGGTCCATCCTATCATGTTTACATTTGCTGAGTTTTAAATTTTGTGCTGTTGATACAATAACTGCCTCCAGGATTTGTAACTTTTCAGTTCCCTGTCTTTGGGCCAAGCCTCTTTAGCACTTGATACTCTCTGCCCTATCTTGTCATTGGGTTGTTTCCTTTTTTCTAATATTGTCTCCAAAACTAGACTCCCTGTTGTTGAATCTGAACTCTGTCTTCAGTGCCGTTCTTTACAGATTAGACAATCAATGTTTATGTTTGATTGATCGAGGACTAAGGAGCTGTGACAGTATTTCACTGGCTTTCAAAGCCTTAATATTACACTGAGTATATGTGGAATGTACAGACACTTAAGGTCATTCTAAGCAGGGTTTCTTTTGCTAGGGGAGTGTTATTTGTTATTTTATTTTATTTTATTCCTTTGACTTTACAATGGCACCCTGAAGGAAGCAGGCAATTAGATAGAGCTGGCAGTGCATGCTGTAATTCGAGCACTCAGATCTGAGGGCAGTAGTGAAACCTGTTCTCAGAAACAACAAAAAACAACCCCATTCCCATTTTCTTCTCCCACACCCTCCTCCTTTTTGCTGTTGTTTTTGAGACAGGGTCTCACTGTGTAGCTCTGCCCAGTCTGGCCTTGAACTGACAAAGATTCATCTGCCTCCTGAGTTGTGGGATTAAAGGCGTGCACCACACCTAGCTTCCTTCCCCCAGTTTCTAAATGAGGGTTTGATAGGTCTCTAATTTAAGAGTACTAGAAATACAGTGTATTGCCTATAGTTAGGATTCCCTCATGTTCTCTGGGATCTGAAGCACTTCTTGCTTCTGCAAGCATCTGTGTACATGTGGCATACACACATATGTAAAAATATTCGTAAATAATTGTGAGGCTGGCGAGATGGCTCAGCCCACAAGAGTAATGGGTACTCTTCCAGAGGACCCAGGTTTTATTACCAGAATCTATATGGTGGTTCACAGTTTTCTGTAACTCCAATTTCAGGGAATCCTCTTCTAAACTCCATGAGCACCAGGATAGTATATGGTGCACAGACATACATTCAGGCTGCCTTAGTTAGGGTTTCTGTTCCTGTAAAGAGACACCAAGACCATAGTAACTCTTATACAGGACGCATTTAATTGTGGGTGGCTTACAGTTTCAGAGATTTAGTCTATTATCATTGTGGTGGAAAGCATGGCTGCATGCAGGCAGACATGGTGCTGGAGGAGCTGAGAGTTCTACATCTGATCCGAAGGCCTCAGAAGAAGGTTATCACACTAGGCCTAGCTTGAGCATATAAGACTTCCAAGTCTGCCTCCATAGTGATACACTTCCTCCAACAAGGCCACACCTCGTTCTAATGCCACTCCCTGTGGGCTAAGCTTCCAAA